CTTTTACAAGCCTTCAGAATTATGTAAGCACCACCGCTTTTTACAGATCTAACCCAATTGTGCCTACACAGTTTTGAAGGCTTAATTCATGGAGCTCGCAAACCCACGCTGGTATACCTTTAATCACCTGGCCAAAGTATCCATTACTCTGAATTGCTAAATGCCCACTATTTTTATGGACCTTTAATAGCAGCACAGATACGGAGGTTCCTCATGTTTCAGACTGTGATCCCACAGTATTTAACATTAAATGTGATATCCTGTGTAGTATGAATTTCCGTGACATCTGAAGCACACAATTATCTTTCTGTCAAATCGGTCACAAGTACACAATAAGGCATTTAAGTCCTCTATGGGAAAACAAATGACACCAAGCTTACAAACAAATCTCATCAAGCTTACAAAAATATCTGAGGACATTTACATAAGTTTATGGAGTTATAATACCTTGTTCTGACACCAGGAGTTCAAAAGTTGAATTTAGTATCCAATTGAAAAACAGGCTCAAGAACCAATGCATCACTGCTTGGGTTTGCATCTGCCCTACAAAAACTGACCATTTAAACTCTCAATTTCTTTCAAGAACAAAGAAGAAACCTCTCTTCGTAAACTGTAATCAGCGTCCCAATGGCAGTGTGGCGAGTAGTTCAGTAAGGCTTTTATCTCATGCCAAACTACAAAAACTTTTGAAAACTACAATGTAATAACACTAGCTTCCAGTAAAGCCTTACACTCTATCCTTTTGAAATGCATATTTGATAGCACTGAAGGTACAAACTTTCAACAGTGACAAAGATTAGAAGTATTTGCCTTCAGGATAAATCAATGAACATGCTATTTTCCACCTGTAATCACATAATAAACTTAATCCCTTTGCATTCTCTCCAGCCCTACCAGCACACCATGCAGAAAGATTGTTGATATCTAGTGAACCAAGACATCTGGCTTAGACAACAACAGTACTATTAGTACCAATGGTTATCTGTATTTCACAGCAGGGGGACAGAACAACACATACCACTGCTTAGGATATTCTCCATTTACCCATGTAAAACTTAACCATATTTTACTACCTAAAGCCCACTAAACTGTTCTAATAAAGCTGGCTAAAAGAAACTTGGCATAGCCAAGGCACCCTGCACTTTGCTCTCTGGAAAGCTGAAAACTGCTCAAGTCACTTTAGCCCCCCCTTTTTTGCTCCTATATACAGCTGCATTAAAACAAGCATATTTAAGTAGTGATGGAAGCAACTTCAAAGGACAAAACAGAGGTCACTCATTTATTAAGAGTTGCCTTGGATTATAGTAGATCTTTCTGAAATTCTTGTTAATATTCAGAAGGTGGTTATTTATTAAATAACTAATTGAATTAGTCTCTAGTTTTGTTCTTTGAGCCTTACTCAGTGAATAAAAGTGATTAAGAGAAACAGTTCAAGCATGTTTCATTATAGCTACCACATAAAGAAATACTAAAGACAGTCAATTGCATACATTAATCTTTAATTAACAGCATCAGAGGAACTATATATAGACTAGTACCTAGAGTACTGGACTAGCTATAAAAAGCCTTCATTCTAATCCCAGATCAGCCACTGATTTGCTATGTTCCTCCCATGACAGAGGAAAAGAAATACTCCTCTAAGATCTCGTTTTCCTTTTTAGCTTTTTTCTGCCTTACCATTTCTTTTTGCAGTAGTTATAGCAGGGGCATTCTCTCCATGAGCAAAACCCAACAGTGGCTCTACAGCATTGGGTGAGCAGCCCAACTTCTAATTACAATTAACAGCAATATGAGGATCACCTAACCTATCTCAAGACAGTTCTAAAACTTTGTGTTTCTATAATGCTCTCCAAAACCTTACAGGTAAACCAAACCCCCTCTCTTTAGCAAGGGATAATAAAAAGCACACATATTACTTATAACAAGAATATTATTGCCATCTTTGAGCAATCTCCCTCACTCCCATGATTGATATGCAATCCCCAGGCTGATGACATATTAACCTGTTTCTTTCTTGTTGGCTTTTTTCCAAGACATCCAACTTTACATCTTGGCTAGCCTCTCCAAAATGGATATTCCCCAATAAACAGCAGCATGATGCAGCCAAAACAAAGCTTATACTTCTTCCATTAAGCCCTGTCAACTCCGTTTCAAGCAGCCTTAGGTTAACACTCATTCTTGTCTCTCCTGCATTTCCCAGATCTAAGCTGTGCTGAATCATGCTGCTTTCTCCCTGAAACAACAGCATCTCTAGAATCTGATATTCAAAGTTCTTTTTGGCATCCTTATCTCCCCTCCCTCCCCCCCACCCCTGGCTGATACTTCCTTCCTCACACAAATAATACTACCACCATTAGGCTCCCATTCCTGCTGTTAGGGCATACATACCTTTATTTCCCCAACAGGTTCCCGAGTCAGCAAACCAAAAAGGCAGATATATTCTATTTAGATTGATTTTGCGTAACACACTCACTATCCAACTGCCTCAGCTCTTATCTCCCCTTTGTCAACATGAAAGTTTGTTCTCTATTTGTTCCACACCCACCAATTTCTGAATATACATAACCCTGAACTCAAACGTGGCTGGAAAAGCATGCCATCTTTGCAGCCCATTCTCAGCTGGTTTCGTCTTCCCCCCAGTAACCTCTCAACAAAATTCCCTTTCCTTCCACCAGTGGAGAGAAAGGAATGCACAGCTCAGCAAAAGAGCTGAGATTAAAGCAAAGCAGTTCCCCAGCTCTCAAGAAGTGTCTTATCACTGCCTGTCCACATACCAAGACAAAAACCGCCTCTACTTGTCATGCAACCAGCTTACCCCAGGCTTGTCTCTGCATTCAGGTATTTGGCTTTCCTTCCCCATGCTAGATAAAACACTCCCCAGAGGCAAAACTTCTTAGTAAGCACTCAGCCCTTTGATCTCAGAAGCAGCTGGTGCACAGCTGCTCCCCATTACTTTTGCAGCTCTTGGGAACCTTTTGAATTTTCCTGTCCTCTCTCACAAACAGACACAAAGGGCAAGAACACCAGCAGTCATCTTTCATTCTCAGGCAAAGGATTTTATTTCCATCTCACAGAGTCATAGAATGATAAAATCAGTTGGGTTGGAAAGGACCTTAAAGATCATGTGCCTTGCCCAATGCATCCTCCAATTACTGCTCACCTGCCCCAAACCCAGACCATCCCTCCCAACCTGCTCCCCAAGGAGGTGAGCAATGCCCCCTGTTCCTTTTCTCAGCAAGGGTCTCCTCCATGACTGACTGTCCTGGGGAGACAAAATGCTCCCTCTATCCTTACAGTCCATAGAAAACAGGCTCCTGTCCCTCATCCCAAGAAAATCTTCCCTCAGGTCACAGTGGTTTGCAGGTGGTACAAAAGAAGTCAGTTCCGCCCCAGTTTCTCTTCTGTGCAACTACAAAGCCCAGCAAGCATGAGAAAGCCTGCCTCCTAAGAGGCATGCACACCACTACACCTTGCTAGGAGTGCATGGACCTGCTTAAGGCAGTATCACCCCAGACAGGCCAGGAGGAGACAACTGCAGTGACTACTAACAGCACAAGGTTTTCTTTCAATGATACTTTGTTCAGGTTTAAAGAAAACTGAGAAAAGCTAGAAACTTACTCAGCACCTAGAGTTACAGGATTCAGAGACAGTATTTTAATCCTTTATTTAACTGGAAAAGCCATTTAAAACAACCACCAGAAGACAACAGGGATTGTAGGAAACAGCATAGCCAAATGACTGCCTGTAACACTGAGCTTTGAGAAACACTTACAGCCCACTGCCTGTGTAAACAGGAAGCAAAGGGAACTGTTGACCAATCTCATTTCCCAAAATTTCTGTAGAAGTTTCACATTAATACTCACATGCTGGGGAAAACTGGTATTGCTGAAATACCTGCTCCTCAGCTTGCCTTCCAGAATCATCCCAGTGAAGCTATCACCATACACCCACTAACACTGCTGCTGCTGCTGCAGCAGCTACTACATCAACAATCCCAAGGTGCTCTGCAACCAGGTGCCAATTAGAAAAGTCATTTTACCTGCTCCTACCGCTGCCATTTCAGAGCCACAGCTGCTGCACTCCTGCTGGGACTACTGTGAAGCATATGCATAAGATTTAACTCCTTTCTCTTGGTTAATAAAGGAAACAAACCCACCAATACAAATTTCTTACTTCCAGGTAGCTTTTTTCTTTCCCCAAGCAGTATACATTATGCTTTGCAAGAGAAAAATTTTGCTAGAATCTGACAGAAAGATGAGTGCATTCACTGGAGCAGCTACAAACTTCATTCAACTTTTCATAAAGATTGAAGATTTTTAACTTTGAGTCAGAACTTTTGCTTCCAGGAAAGCCCAAGCTTTTAAGAGACCTTGTGATCAAGAGGAAAAAGGAAGACACTTCTGGTTACTAGTCTCTTTTTTTTGTGAAAGTTGGCACATGGCATAATCTCTCCACACACGCTTTCAAAAGCAGACTTTAGCCAACAACTGAAGCCATTTGCACTGACACATAATAAGGAAACATAGCGTTTGAGCTAGCCATGTTAATTATTTACTTGTAAAGGATCAAGCCAAGAAGTTTCCCAGACTTGCTCATTCAGTTTGTGATTGTGTGACTCTCTTTGTACATGAGACAAGGTGGCACCTCTACTCCTGATAACCTACCAAGAACATCTCGTGGCAGGATAATTTCTAAAAACAACATAAGGATTAAGAAAACTGTTTGCTGATTCATCAGAATTGTGTTTGTGAAACGTGTTACAAAAGTCGAGCAAAAGGGATTGTTTAGTGGAAGTGTATGACAAACACTATCCAGTAAATCATCCAAGGTGATTCTCCTACTGAATACAGCAAATAAACAGATGAAAAAATAAAGCTCAACTGCTTCCCAAGGTCCTCCTGCTTTTCTGTGCTATTCAACCTTATACGAGATCTCGATGTTTCCACTACAGACATGCTCTAATTTCCACTACCAATCTCTCACTCCATCAAGTGGACAACTTCCATTTTAGCACTGCATTGGTACTTTAATGATATACACCCATTCCATAAAACAAAAAACAAAACAACCCCCATCTGTACCCATCCCCCAAACCACCACCCAACCTTTTACTGATTTCAACAGGAGCTAACCTGCATTCTCTATAGCTGCCTGTGCACTCAGCATTATTGCTTATTGCTAACAAAATCCGTTTCACTTCAACTGCATCGTTTGAGGTATTTGTTCCCAGAAATGTGCCTTCAATAACATGACGGTGAAATCTGCACAAGTTGTCCTGTAAGCAAGAACCATAAGCTACTTAAAAAGTAGTGTTGTTTGGAGCTTTTTGGGGATGGTGGTGGTGTGAGTACGTGTAGGTCTATTAAGAAAGCAAGCAGCAGCCTTTTGCATCACTGTTAACAATCAACTTCTTTCTGATGACATTAATGTGCTAAATCAAAAAGCAGGTCAGCAGTAAGCCTTCCCTTTTTCCTTGTTTAATGGGCGCTCCTCCCACTGTCATATACCTCCTTCTCCTCACATCTTTTTTTTTTTCTTATTTGCCAGCATGTAGGCTGAAATGTCTAGAACATGAATTTGAAGGGTTACAGATCTTTAATGTAAAGAAACACTAAATCCCAAAATGAGCTTTCCTCACAAATATTTTAGCTAGCAATCTGTAAAACTAACTCTCAAATTCCAAAATCACTTCTGGATAAAAGGAAACTACCTACAGTCAATTCCCAAGTACTTATAACTCTCCAAAACATCTTAAAACTAGAATTGTGAAGTCTTTCAGAAGGCACTGTATGACAGTGAAGAAGCAAAAATCCACTCCTTCCATTGCAGGTCACCCTTTAAAGGCTATAAGTAATGTAAAAACATATACAGCCTCTCAGTACTTAACTTGTAACCTGATTCCTTTTATAAAAATTATCTTATTGGGTTTCTGTACAGTAACACGGGATTATTAGAAAACAACTTTTGTAGACGTAGCTTTATGGAGGACAATCATCATTAGTTCCTACAGCCATCTGAAGCCAGTAGTCCAGATTTCTAAAAATGACAAAGTTGTACAAGTTTTCTCCTCCTTTGTGGAAGCCATGTTCACTCTCTCTCCAGGAAACAGGGCTGTCTGCAAAGCCATGCACAGTTAAGGTCAGCCAATACGCCAGTTTTGGTTCACCAAAATAGCAACTGCAAGGAAGAAGACAAGGTAATCAATAATTATAACTGAATAGACAGCATGTTCAAGTATACAGTATCAAGTACAAAAAGTCAAAGACAGGCATTGTAGTGGAAATTTATAATTAACAGTTAAATGAACCTGTTTTAGTCCATAATACATAAATTCAAGAGAAAATATTCCATCAAAAGACATTCGGAAACAAAAGAAGGTTGACTTGATTATTCCTACCACACTTTTAGACATGGCAAACCTGAAAGTTATAGCAGTAAGGGAAAGCTCTAAGTTGTAAAGTAGCTGTTCTCAAATTTTCTACAGCATGCAAAGTCTTCCAGAAAATTAAAACATTGACTATCAACAGTTGCTATCAGGGAAAAATTACACTGGAGGAGGAAACATAGTTAGGCTCTGATGACACAAATATTTTTACCACCAGGAAGGAGGATTACAAATAATCAAAGCCAGACATTACCCATTGCTCTTAAGAGGAGAATAAAAGCCAAGGAAATTTGTGTTCCAAGCCTAGCCCAGGGAGGCCTTCTGCATAGGATATGAAAATTGCTCAAAGAGTAATGATCATATTCCAGATAAAACAACAGCAATATTGTCATGAGTCAGTGCTGCAACTGTTAGCCACCAGGTATTTCAAGCACTGTCTCACACATGGAGCAAGGAGCTTCCAGAATTTACTGTCAGGAGCACTAACACACAATACAGACAGATACCACATTGATCCATGATACACTAATATCATGTAGTTTGGTAGTGAATTAGATCTACAGCTACCCCGTTCATCACTCTCCAGTGTCCCACGTTACACTTGATCTTGTGATACTCTTTTTGGTATCGTAAAGAGATTTCTATCATATTTTCCACCATGTTGTGGTTTAAGCCCAGCTGGTAACTCAGAACCATGCAGCCGCTCACTCACTCTCCATCTTCTTCCCACCCTCCCAGCTCCCAGAGCGATGGGGAGGAGAACTGAAAGAATGTAAATCCCACAGGTTGAGATAAGCACAGTCCAATAACTAAAGTATAATACAAAGCTACTAATACTACCACCAATAACAATAATGATAAGGGAAATAACAAGGGGAGAGAATATGAAGCTAAAACGGAAAGGAAAAAAAACCCACAAGTGATGCATAATGCAATTGCTCACCATCCACCAACCTATACTGATACCCAGGCCAACTTGGGCAGTGATCTGGCCTTCTAGGTGACTCCTCCTAGTTTATATACTGGGCATGACGTGCTGTGGTAAGGAATACCCCTTTGTCTAGTTTGGGTCAGGTGTCCTGTCCCTGCTTCCTCCCCACTTCCCATGCCCCTCCTCAGTGGCAGAGCATGAGGGACTGAAAAGTCCTTGATCGGAGTAAACACTACTTAGCAACAACGAAAACATTCATACGTTATCAGCGTTGTTCTGAGACTAAAGCTGAACACACAGCCCTGGACCAGCTACTAAGAAGGAGGAAAATAATTGTTCTAGCTGAACACAGGACATATCAGTAGTTAAAAATACTAAATGAGACACATTTAAGATCATCCGATTTTCATAGATGGGGAATTTGAAAAATGCAGGAGCTCAGCAGAGCCACTGTTTCTTAGAAATTAGGATGAAAAGCAAATTTATTATTAGAATACAGGGCAGGCATTTTCAAATTTAAAGTATCCAAAATTGCTTTATTATAACAATATTAAGCTACCTTCTCATTTCCTAATTAAAAAACCTCTTCATTTTGTGTATTTTGCTATATACCTCTAACAGCACTACTGAAAAGAAGTATTTAAGAGTGATTTCAAAAATTAAAGTGTTGGAGTACAAGTATATTAGTAATATACTCCTGTCAGTCCTTACCATAGCTGCTCCAATAACTGAATTATCTTCTCAGGAATTATAAAGCCTGTGATTGTGCACAAAAAAGCTTTTTCCACAATTGTGTTCGGCTGAGGACAGCTATAGGTTGATAAGAAGCTAGACGACTTGTTGTCTCTGGGAAAAAAAATCCACACCAGAAAAAACAAACAAAAACAACAGTCACTTTAAATCTTCTACAGGAAATCTTAGTAATCAAAACTTATACCAAATAAATAGTATCTACATATATCATCTAAATCAATATCGACGCAACTAACGGCCAAGCAATTAATACACAAGATGTCATGGTGCTGTGGGTTAACCCTGGAAAGCACCTAAATACCACACGCTGCTCACTCACTCTCCCCTAGGTCAATGGAGGGGAGAATCAGAAGAGTCAAGTGAGAAAACGCCTGGGTTGAGATGAAGACTATGTAACAGGTAAAGCAGGAGTTGCACAGGAAAGGGAAACAAGCTAACAAATTCATTTACTACTTCCCTTCATCAGGAAGATGCTTAGCCACATCCAGGAAAGCAGTGCTTCATCGCGTCTAACTGTGACTTGGGAAGACAAACATTGTAACTCTGAACATTCCCACCCTTCCCTCCCCAGCTTCTATTGCTGAGCATGCCACCAAATGGCGTGGGACAATCCTCTGGTCAGTTGAGGTCTGCTGTCATGGCTCTGCTCCCTCATAGCTTCTTGCCCACTCCCAGCCTACTCACTGTCAGGGCAGTGCGAGAAACAGAAAAGGCCTTGACACTGTAAGTACTGCTCAGCAATAGCTAAAACATCACTGTGTTATCAACACTGTTTTGGTCACAAATCCAAAACACAGCACCATATCAGCTACTATGAAGAAAGGTAACTCTTATCTCAACCGAAACCAGTACACATGGGTACCCCTACAAACACAGGTAAGTTATTCAAGACTCACAACAAATGCTTAAGCGCGTAACAGACTTCCCATTTACAAATGTGTCTTTCTTAATTCTTATTCAACTCTTCCTTAAAATAAATTGTGGCTTTCCTTGCTTAAAATGTATTTAAAGATCAAACGAATTCAAATACTTACAAGCTAACGTGATTCAAGACAGCACCTAGCCATTCAAACAGCTCCTCTGTACTGCAGGACTCCTCCGGCTTTCCATGCAGTTCGTTACTTTGTAACAGCGGGCACTGCAAGTCCCTTAATGTACTGAAGGTTATATTTGGCTTCAGGCTCTCTATTTGGTTTTTTGAAAAGTATGACATCAGTGTTGATCCCTCTGCACCTTAACAACACAACAACACAAACAGCTGTTACAAAACTACCAAACAAAAGGAGCACTGACTACCTGAAACCATTGTATATGTGTAGAAGAAAATGCAGGGTGTAAAACTGCTTACATGCTGTTATCTCTGCCAAAATGCATACAATCTTCAGCTACTTTATCTTCTTGGTAATAAAAATTAGTGTGAGATCCAGCAACTCAACACAGCTCAGTAGATTTATTATTTAATTAGCAAGTATAGATCTGTCAATAGGAAATTCAAGCAGAATTAACTGGCCAAGTAATAAAGTGGACTCACTAGAAAGAGGAATTCAGAGTGTTCCTGAAAAGGAAGGCATGAAAGGGAACACATGTGAACTGCGTCCAAAACGTACCCCAGACTAAAAGCCTAACCTAAGCAAGCATACTGCAAATTCAAATATATCAACCAACTTGTTTTTGAAGCAGTAAGATAACTGATGTAGAATCAATTCTCCTAAATTTGAAAATCCAGATAATGTATTCTGTTTTCATAAAGTAACAATGGGTCTCTAGGAGACCAAGAAATAATACCTTATTCATAAGAAGTCTGAAGTGCAGCACAGTATTTAAATACTGCAGGAAATACATGTACAAACAGAAGAAGTTCAAAAACCAGACAGAGTTCTGTGGAATCCTTGTTCTATATCCACAGATAGAGACTTCGAAACACAATATCCAAGAACTGCTGTCAAAAATTATGGACTGCCTAAACTCAATCAGCCATATTTGTCTCAAGGACAATCATTTGAGGGAGTAGGAAAAGGAGACTAAACTGATCCCTTTTAGTCATCCTTCAAAAAAGGCTGTCCAAGCATCAAAGGGCACAGTGACAAAGGCAGCCACCAAACTCTTGTTAATTTAGTGCTTTTATATAGATATGTTTAAGTCTGAAGTCTGCTAGAACAGATGGTTTTCCTTCAGCCTGTACTTCCTATTGGCATTTGTTAGACCAACAGGTTCAAACGATGCATAATATTAGAATTCTTAGTCAAATATATTAAAAAAATCTACATTTTAAATGTCTGCTGCATATGCGAGCCTCAGCTATAGCCCTAGCTTAAGGAAATACCAGAGACTACAGTCAAGACTCCAACAGAATAATTCCACTAGCTACAGCAAAGCTTTCCATGTCAACAACCACCAGGCACACTGACAACGTTTTTTGGAGACCAGTCAACTTTAGCCAATAAACATTTAGAATTGTCATAGAAATTGCAGAAATAGAGAAGAAACGATTGTTTTCCCTCTGTCACTGAAGACATGAGACACTCCATACTCCCTTTTTCTGTTCTTCTTGGTGCCAGGACTACTAAGTGGGAAAAACAGGTATGAAAACAAGAAGTCCTGATTTTGGAAAGTGACACAAATATTTATAGGTTTGCAGCATTGCTGGCCATAGCAAAGAACAGCAGTTATCAGCAGGAAGGCTGAACACAGAATGCCCACGGAGGACATGGATTAGCTCAACAAAATACAGCTCTTTTCCCCTTCCAGCAGAATACACACAATGTCTCATGTCTAATAAAAAGCTATAAATGTCTTTCATGTGTTATGAGGACAAGATTCCTGCACTGAAAGGCATACAGATTTAACTCAATATTCAGGAAATGACTGACCTTACCCCTTTTTTGGATATAAGAAAGTGAGGAAAAATGAATGCTAATCTTCCTGAATGCTGCTAACACTGGCAGCAACAAACACAAGAAACTTACCAGCCCTAGAGGCATTTTGCTCTCTGCCTAGGATCAATAAATCTAAGCAAGCTGAGCCTGAAGATACACCACCTCAGGTGGGTTTATGTAGCAAGTCTTGACTATGATTCTTTCCTGAAGACTACAAGGACAAGAACTGCAACCCCTAAACAACTGCTGCATGCCAAACAAGGAAGAGTCCTTACTGCATGATTAGTACTTAAAAAGGGGGAGGGGAAACATGAAGACCTAAAGGGAAACATGGACACTACTGAAGTATCTTAGAAGCAGCTTTAATTCCTCAGATCAGTTAACTCCCTGTCAAACTTGGTCCTGAAGAACGAGGAAAGTAACAATATAAGGAGCAGATGGGAAAGCATTCTTGGGGACCTCTCTAACATCCCTTCTCACTAGTGTGAAGACTCAAAGCAGAACCACACTAAAAGCTACACAACTATGACAAAGAAAAACTTTTTTTTTTTTTGCAGTATAGACTCATGCAGTTTTTGACAAGTCTATGTAAATACTACATATCCATAGATACAGCATGTTCTGAGGTAATACAAGGAACTGAGGACTTCGAAAAAGGGCCCTCAGAGGAAGAACAATATTTGAATCCAGAGGAAAAATAATGTAACCAGCAAACAGCAGATAAACAAATACTAGAAGAAAGGTGATTTGAGACAATAACATTTCTTATAACAACCTCTTACTCTCCTCCAGTCTCAAACAAGTACTTGAGAATAAAACAGTAAAAAGGGACTGTGTCCGCATCAGTGTACACAGAACATGATAGAAACAGTGACTCTGTACATGTCCTACAGCTAGTGAAGAAATGCAAGTTCCCCATCTTAACTTTTACACCAAATATGTAAGTTGATATTAATAAAAAACTCAAAAAATGTGTATTTTTAATGGTTACATATGTCACAAATTTATAATGATGAGGCAGCACTATGAAATAAGGAAAGTTACCCCAGAAATCCAGGGCAATCCAGAGACATGGAAATGAAGTAATTAACGTATGTACTACAAATCACTGTTGCATTCCTGACTGAAATGTTCTGCTGTTTAGTAAGTAACACACACAGAGCCCCAAACAAATAAATGAAACAAATAAACAAAACCCCACACAAACACATTTTAGTCTAACTTTTCCCTCCACTAAAAATGCATTTGGACAATCACTACAAAAGAACAGTAAACTAAAAATGTTTGGATTTCATGTCAGTTAGATTTTACTTTTACATTTAGCTCTTATTACCTGTATTATACCAAGCCACTAGGAAGTCAAATTCTAAAGGTTTCTTTTCTTTTAAGGCCCAAAGCACTCTGTTATGTTTCTTGCTATCAGGATGAAAGCTGGAATCAGTCAAGTCAATAGTTATAACTGCAAAAATGTAAAAAAGCAATTGTTAACCAATTGAAATAAATATTAATATTAAATTAATTAATAAATATTAAAATTAAGAATCATAGAACGGTTTGGTTTGGGAGGGACCTTAAAGATCATCTTGTTCTAATTCCCCTGCCATTGGCAGGGACACCTTCCACTAGACCAGGTTGCTCAAAAGTTTATCACATTAAAAAGTTCCAAAGAAACCAAGGAACATTAAACTTCCTTTTCACCTATTATATGCACCTTTACATCTTTATGCAAATATGACTCATTATGTAAACAAACATTTACCTCCTGCTGTCCTTATTTTGATATAATCTGAAACTGCCTTCTAGTGACTGGAGGCACAGATTCCTTCTGTAATGGCACTGACAGAAATCCCAAACCATCACCTTAGAAATACCTTGGTAATTATGCAAGACATTAGCAGCAAGAAAAGCTAGAATTTCTGACATCAAAAGCAACATATACAGCAATGACACTTCTTCAACTGTTGAACTGATCCCAGGACAAAGCTACATTTATTTTTCAGATGGAAATTTCATGATCTTATTACTCGACAAACTGAATGGTAAAATGATGTCCCATTTTGCCAAAATTCTTATGATTGACAGCAAGTTTCCTCTAAAGTTTTATGTAACTACCCATCAACTACTGCGAATTCTAATACACCTGAGATGGCATTATTTTAATTATTTACAGAAGAATAATAGTAACAAAAATCACAACAAAAGATCTGAAATAAGCACTGTTAATATAAATAATACTTACTATATCTCATTACTTTTTTGCCAGAATACTTAGAAGGGCGACCTTGCAGTCCAAGTTCCTCATAAGTATCCTTATCCACTGACAGAATTAGATTTCCTATAAGCAAAACAAACTTTAATACAATCTTCTACTTAGTTTCCTTTGAAGTCTCCTGAGAACCGTATACTTTATACAATGTTAGCTTTGGATCAATGGTATTATTAATGTATTCCAAACTCCTTAGCTCCATATAAATAGATTACCTGACTAACCATTAGAAAAAAAGGAGAAAAAAAAAGTGTTGTAACTCAATTACTCTTTCATTAAAGAGGTCTTATGAACTAGAATGAGAAGAGTGTAATGCTATTACTGAGATAGCCATACCTTTTATTGTACTACCTCCTTTCATTGCTCAATCCTTCCTCCACTTGTACCCTCGTATTTGCTGCAATGTTGGTTGAACTATACATTACACCTGGCTCTGATTTAGTAAACACTCATGCACACTTTGCTCAACTAAACATACAAAAGCAGTTTCTCCAACTCTAGTGGGATTACTCATATTCAGTTAACTATGCTTATTAGCAATGAGCAGATATGTGCTGGGACAACTCCACTTCCATGCTCATAAACCAAATCTGGCAGATGCCCCTTGGTACAAAACTTCATAACACATCTCTGCTACAGTCTTTTGGTTCTACTGTACAAATAACAGTATAACACAGAATACAAACAAACAAGGCCATTGCTGAAGATTTCAAATGTTGACATCACCAGGAACTGTAGTGCTGTCTCTGCATTAATTGTGCATAGCTTCTATCTATCTATCTATCTATCTATCTATCTATCTATCTATCTATCTATCTATCTATCTATCACACAAACTCCATTTTGCTAGGACTGTGCTGAAAGAGCACATAAAGAATTCCTCCTCTGAAGAACCTGAATTTACTTATGCCCTGATGGGCACCTGGCATATTACAGCGCCTGAGGCTAGAGGGCTGACAGACCGATTTGTGTTTCTATTACATCTGATATAATGTTAAACAGAAATAAAGACATATTTGAAGCCCAAATAACTTCATTAGTTTCTCTGCATGCAAAATACCACCTGACATTTTCTCATAAAACTGACAGAACAGAAACAGAGCATTTTAACACACTACATAATTCTCAAAAAATAAAAGTGTCCCTAAGGAGTGCTGAATTTATTTTTTTTTTTACAAATTGTCGTTCAGACCAGTAGGAAACAAGTAACTGGAATGCAATGTTTTCACAAAAATAATCCTCTGTAGCATTCATAATTACAGTTGAAGCACTGACAACTGGACACTATACATAATTGAAGCTAGTTTAACAGTATGGATGAAAAAAGAGTTAAAATGAGCATTTTCCTGATCCAAATGTATTTCTGGTTAAGTTGGTAAGTATAACCACCATTACGTTCCGCAGTTTACATTAAAAAAAATCCCCAAACCAAAATCAATATGTGTTACTAAAAACAAAACAAAAAAACGTACCATTTGGTAGCAGAGCTGCGGTATTATCTTGATCAATTTTTGTTTTATAGGTAAGTGCATAGCATGAACCTTTAATAGTAAAGAAGAAAACAATGAGATTGCAGTCTCTAAACAGACATGATATGAAAGATTCACCTTAAGATAGTCTTAACATGCCAAATACCATTTGAATCACTCTAAACTGTGTTTTCATCAGCTTTCTTTTGCCCTCTCAAGCAAAAGAGCCTTTTGTTAATATTTTTATGAACTATAAACCTTGAATTGGCACTGTTTTGAAGGACCTGTAGTAGAGATAACGTTACCAATATGCCCCAATATGACAGCACTTTTTTTTCTACCTGCAACTTTTCCCATTCAGAAACTGAAAATCCCATTTTTATCCTCAGACACATTTCTATTATCAATTCATATAAAGACAAGGGGCAAGATGCTCACATTTCTATTTTGCTGCATTATCTGCCACAAGCAATTGTTTTTCAAAATACAAGCATCAGATCCTGTAAACTCTGTGTACAAATGTCATAATGGTTCCATAAAACCGCTGGCATAAAAAAAAATTAATGAGACTAAAGGAAATAAGAAGAGGGTCCCACAGCCAGCAAGTAAACAGCTATTCTCTTGTTTCATCTACATGTTCTCTGTTCTCCTTTCTTTCCCCTTTCAAGCTATTTTTGACTCCCAGGCAATCATCTGAAGGGTACAACAGTTATCATAAGCCAAACAAGTGGGCCCTGCTAGAGGTAAACAGCATGCTCTGAGTATACAATAGTGAGTTGGCTGGGCAGAGGCTGCATCTTTTCTCTTTTTCTACTGCCTGCTGTGGAACACAGCTAACACCACTCTGGGCTGAAATATGAAGGAAAGAAAGGGAGAAGGGAGCAGATTTCTGCAGGAATCAGCATAAAGATGGGATGCAGAATAAATGGGTATGAGGACACATGGCAGCCCTCTTGATAGCTGGTTTGCAAAATTAAGATGACATAGGAAGAAATGAAGAGGGAACAATCATAAAATGTTTGGACCCAGGAGGTGCAAACAAATGTTTACACACCACAAAGCAGAACAAAGCAGATAAATTAATACAAAATTTTCTTTGTACTTTTCCTTCCCTTCCTTTAAAGGAAGAAATATTAATAGACTTTACTATGCTATGAAAAAGAAATGTATTATTACTGCATCTGTCATGTTCTGATTTCCTTACCTTTCTTCACAAAAGCATCAATGAAATCATGAGCGACCAATTCATGAACCGGTAAATTCCTCACCAGGTAGTACTCTCCAACATCCGCAATAGTGCTTTTCAGCACTTCAGGTAGCAAGCCACATTCAGGGATCAAAAAAGACACCTATTAGGAAAATATCTGTAATGTAAATCATATCCTAAAATCTGTTCTAGAAGAAAACCAAGAAATACAAAATAAAAACTCCACTTTTCAAGGACATGAATATATTATACCAAAATGAGATGAAGAAAAAATAGTATCAGGCTATTGTCTTCAAAATGTATCAATTTGCACAAAGTCTCTAGGCTCTCTAAATACATTATTTGGGTTTTTTGGTTTGTTTTCTTTTTGCATTTTATATGCTATACAATAGCATTTGAGGTGTTAAGTAAAGGCATGACTTTACACAGCATGAGTTAAGATCTTGTTTCACGTCATTATAAATTTAGCTTGATGTTGCACTGGAACATTTCCTTCAGCCTTTGCTGCAGGAAGCATTTATAACTAAAAATGTAGGCTAAGCATTTATGTAATCTCTGTGGAAAAGTGAAGACCAAAGTAGAATTTCAACTAGTTTTTAAATCAATGCACTCTCCTGTGTGGAATACTTTGGAGGTCAGAAGAGTGAACAGACTATCAGAGCAAAGCCTGAAGATGGGCTCACAAAAAAGGCTTTTACTTCTGATTAATTTAAGGTAGAAAACTGACTTTCAAAAGGGACAAGCACCTAGCTTTTCTTACTACACTCAGCATTTTTGTCTTTTGGTCCCATTGCCCACCTTTAATTTTCCTTTTGTTTAAAGCCATGCCTGTATGCGTTTCATAGATCAAGAGAACTCTCAAGCCCGGGAGACCACAGAAAACGCTAGTACCATGCTTCCCAGCAACTGTGCCCAAGTAGCATAAAGGTCAGTCCCCCTGCTCCTTCTTCCTCCATCCCTCAAACTTTTTTCCCCAAAAGCTTCCAGAGAACAGGTTTGTATCTCCCTTCGCACACATACACAAGAGAAGTAACAACTGACAGATGGGCTTCCTGCCACACAAGTAGGAACCTTTCTAATTAGCTGCTGAAAAAAATTACTAAGGAAATGGCAAGAGGATCTGAGTGGAACTTGCAACAGTCGAAGAAAAGAGAGCAAGCTGTCAAAAACTGGACTTTGCACATTAAGTCTTCCAAAACAATTGAGCAGCTGATGAGAGCATGACAGGATACTTTGGCAGAGGCAGGGACAGCATGAGACTGAGTGCTTTCAGGGTACACCTGCTGCCAGGTCCCCCCCGCTGAGGGACTCCCTCAGCCCCTCACTGCTTGGACTGGGAATTTGTGGATGGTGCTCCCTGTATGACTTGGCGGGCAGCCCTGACTAAACTGTCACCCCTCCCACCTCTCTTCTAGTTTGTGTCTGCACGGTCTTCCACTCTTCAAGGTGTTGTGTAATTGCGTGAGACCACCAAGCCAACGGGGCTAATTTTCTTCTCTTTCCCCCAACAGAGGCACACCGGACACCTGACAAGCTTGGAGGAACCTTCCAGAAAACAGCCTGGCGCGGGGTGAACCGCCAGCAAAGCGTCCCGTTAAGGGCTGCCAGGCAGAGCCATGGGGACTCTCCCACCCGCGGTGCTCCGGTCTGGCCGAGGAGGCACGGACGCCTCCACCCGTCCTTCTCCCGCGGCGGGGCCACGCACCGCTCCCCACCGCCTCCTCCTAAGGGCCGGGGCAGCGACCACCTCAGCGGGGTCCCCCCCTCACGTTGCCCACCCGCGGCAACGGCCGTTAAGAGCCCCCCCCGACTCGCGCCCGCAGGAGGCGCAGGCAGGCGGGCGGTTGCGCGCACTCACGCGGCAGTTGTAGGCGTGGTCCCGCACGTGCGCCGCGTGCCGCGAGCGCGCGTGCCGCGCGTTCCCCTTCTCGCAGACCAGCAGGTGCCGCGGCGCCTGGCGCAGCCGCTGCAGCGGCGGGATGGACATCCTCCGCCGCGGTGCACTGCGGGGCGGGGGACAGCGGGGCACCGCTTACACTGCCAGCCGCTCGGGAGGGAGCCCTACCGACACACACCCGCCGGCAACAGGGAGGGAGGCGGGGAACAAGCTCTGCTCTGAGGTCACTTCCGTCTGCTTCGGTAGCGCAGCCGCTTCCGGTGCGGTGTGGACTCTGCGCGGGCTGCTCGCGTGGGTGCTGCCGTGTGGCAGGTGTACCTGACAGCAGTTAAAGCACTGAATGCGCCATGGGACAATCGGGTCTCGGCCCAAGCTGAGCCCATGCCCAGCAGCTGCGGTGATGCCCCATCCTGTCAGTGTTCAAGGCCGGGTTGGATGGGGCTTGGAGCAACCTGGTCTAGTGGAAGGCACCCCTGCCTGTGGCAGGGAGTTGGAACTAGATGAACTTCAAGGTTCCTTCCAACCCAAACCATTCTGTGATTCTATGATATTCCATCGTGTGTAGGGACATAGTCATGGACAAGGCAATGAAGACTGAAGATGGGTGGAGCAATCCCCTATGCACCTGGTACTACAGTAAAGTAATGTTGTCTTTCTAACCTCTCATTCTGGTTGGAGAGTTTATTTTCCCGGTTTTTGTGGAGAATTCAAAGCTCCCCAGGGACAACATCCCACGGAAGAGGTTTACCAACCCTGGAAGTGTTAAAAAAAAACCACGTTTAGATGAGGCCCTATGTGACATGGTTTAGTGGTAGAGTTGGCAGTCCTGGGGTGATGGTTAAACTTGATGATCTCAGAGGGCTTTTCCAACCTAGCTGATTCTATGATTCTATGAATTTTGCAAGCAGGAGCTGGGCCCCACTGGCATTGAGAGGGGCTCATGTCCTGACATGGAATGGTTTTAGGAGAGAGGGATGCTTGGAGGGATAAAACAGACGGAAAGAAGTGTGTCCCGGGGTGGATGATGGCACCAGGCAGGCTTTCAAGACATCAAGCAACCTGCTTCCTTCTACCCTAGAGCAGACGTGAGAAATGCATAAACCCAAGGAGCTGCAGGGGTGTGTGTGCCCTGTGAGGCAGGCCACTGCTGTTGGAGATGGCAAAAAGTAAAGGCAACTTTGTAAAAGTAAAAAAATAAGGAATGGCCTTGGGTGAAGAGCCGTGATTTTGGAACATTTCATTAGGGCCTTACAGAGATACATCAAGTATGTGAATTCATACTGAAAATTTGTCATCTGTTAAGTCTCTGAGCATGTTTGTGGTACTAGCTGCAGTTTTACAAGATCACAAGATCTTGCATCCCTCCGAAAGGGACTGCCCAGGTTAGCAAGCACAGTGCGCAAGGACTGTGGGATTGGGCCCTGCCGATGTGTCATCTCACTGCTTGTTCTGTACACTGTATATTTTACATAAAACACATAAAAATCCCCTTTCCGTCTTCCTGCAGTGTTTCTCTTCCCTGTCATGGCTCCTAATTTAGTTTAAAATGATACCAAGCAGCTTTCTTCATATTTGCTGTTTCTGTAGTCTGCACAAGGCTGTATGTAACCTTACTTAAAACACCACTTGGGTGAGTTCAGCAAACGTCCATCAAGTTGGCAAAGCTGATGCTTTTCTTTGATGCCGGTTTGACAACAGTAGTTCCAGAGATCTTAAGCTTTCCCTAGGGATATCTTGACTTGCTATTTCTAGATGAGAAGTTCAATATTAACACTTAGGGGTACATGAGTTTGGTTATTCCTCTCCCTCAACTAGCTGGATGCCAAGAGGAAAAGTTTGTTCAGGATAGATTAGTGTAGGAACTTTATATAGAAAAGTATAGATTATGGTAAAGTCATTTGTTCAACCACTGCAGTGTTACACAGATATGAACCATCATTTTCTTATGATTTTACTCAATCATGAGCTACGTATCTTGGTGGTTTGATATCATAACTGAGCACTCTTGTACACTGCCTGGTCAGTTATTGGCTGTTTGGCTGAGGTAAATAGGTAGCACTTTAGTTTTCTAGATCTGCATTTCTAGTCTGGTGAATTTCTGTTACAGCTCCACCTTCAGTGTCGATGTGCTCAGGCTCCACTTCTAGCATAGGCTGAACTTTTATGGTGCTCTGTCTATGTTTGGGTCTGCTTGATGTTGCTGACTTCATAGCTATAAATAGCTAGCAGTGTGAGAAGGCTGGTTCTTGTAAGGGCTGTGTTACAGAACCATACTTGTTTGAATGAAGGACGCATGCTACTGAGGAGTTAACTAGTTAAGTGCTTCTGGCTTGTTAAGGTGATCCAGACCCACTTGTTTCTGGCATGTGCTTTCCAAGTGCTTGTTTTCTGAAATTACATTGAGACAGACACTGCTGCTGTGAAGCTCGGTGGCTTGTGTCCCCCAGCTCTCAGTGTGAGACTGAGATGAAGCTACCCGTCACGAGGTCACTGGCTCATTAACATTTGTGGAGAAGGGCTGAATTATACACTTACATTGCCTGTATAAATTTGATTAATTGGATTATTATGAATAAAAAAAAAAAGGCTAAGCAATCACAGTAGCCTTCTCATTTAAAGCACGCAAACATTAATGGGAAAAGCATTATGTGATTAATGTCAGTCATTATCATACCCGCAAGCAGAAGCCTCTGTGTGCAGACGAGCATCACGCTGAGATGATTAGAAAGCCTGTTCTACTAAAGGGGTGAAAAGTTCAAGCCTGTGATCAATAAACCCAGAGATCCAGAGAGGAAATTCGGCTATACTCAAAGCAGCCTGTGGAACTGTTTTTTCTCTTCTTTTTTTTGTGTGTATTTTTGGTTTTTATTTGGTTTGTGGTTTTTTTTTTGGTGGGGGCGGTGGGCGGTGGTTTTTTTTTTTTGTGAGCCTCTCTATGCTTAATACAACTTATGCTTTTCTCTAGGTATACAAACATATAAGGACAAAATATGCTGGAGAAGGGTCAAGAGAATCAAGATTTGTGGGTACGTATTCAGAGTTAAGTCAGTATTTTGGAGATTTTTGCAGGAGTGTACTTTACTGCAGCACAGTGGAACACAGAGATTCACATCACTCTTCAGTTAGTTTGGTTCATATGTCAAGCAATTAATTTTAACCCACCCTTCTCATATATATGGGCTGTCCTACTATAGAGTATGTATGTTATCCCTGAAAATACTGAACTACTTAAAAAAAACAAACCCACTTAGCAGTCCAGTAGTCTGTGCTGTAACACACAGATTTTCCCTAACTTTAAACAGGCTATATATATGTACATTAATTGTTGGTAAATGCTGACATTTTTATAGTGTTGTTAACAGTTTTGTGAGTAATTTGGAATGGGGTTTCTGTATATTGTTAAAAGACATTTTACACTTTAAATAATATAAGCAACAGAGCCCCTGTAAAGCGATCACAATTTTCCCAAGGATTTAAAATGCGTGACAGAGTAATGCAGTTTTACAGCAATTCAGTTTCTGCATGCTTGAAGGCAGTTAGAGGCTGTAGTCAAAAGGAAAGCAATGCCTTGAGGCAAGCTCTGGTAATATCTAGGAATAGGGAAGGGTCTCTAAAATATTTCCCAGAACTGGTGAAATTGGATTCTGTTTTTGTATAAAATGGCTTGAGTTTGAGAGAAAAGGCTGATCTTCAAATTATGTACAGTATCTCTAGTTGCAAAGCCCGGCTGCTTCTTCCATGTATTTTTTTCCCTATTCAAGGTCAATCTTTAATAATTTTTTTTTCTTCTGGATTTTCTGATTTAAAAAATCACATTATTAAAATACCTAGTTTCATAAAGTCAAATCTTAACAGGTATTTGTCACAGGTATTTTGAAATCCGTTTGTGCCTTTAAGATGAATCAAAATATTTTTCTTTTTAGTCACTATTTTTTTTTCTTTCTCAAATATTGTTGACTGCAGCAGAGAAGGAAGGAAGTTGTCTAGATCTTGTAACCTTGGCTATTGTAATTAGTGCTTTGCAAAACAGGAAACAAACAGATACTTCTGGTGCTTTGTTCATCTGAAATTAATAAGGTATGTGAGACTGAAAACCAGCAATTTACTTGATCAGCATCAACTGTTTTTTTCATTAAGGAACGTGGAAAGATGATGAAGACGTGGATACTTAGCTTTATATCCTGTTTTTATACACTTTGGTCCAAATATTCAGAGCTGTGATGGACTGTAAAAAAAGATGCCACTCAGACTTGTTTTTCAAGGAAATTACATACAAAGCTTCTGCCAAGCTACTCCCCAAAGCAGCTGTTCGAGCCAGGAAGAACAGTGAATGCTAACCATGGGCTGAGTTGCTGGATATTAATGTTGCTGATTTTAAATGTAATTTAGAAAAACACCAACCACCTGGTCTGTTTCTTTTGGAGTTAAAACCCACTGTAATCTGGGAAACCTCACACTCCCTCACTTTTGTGATACTACAGTGGGATGAGAAATGAAGATAATTCATCTGGCAAGGTTCTGGGGAACAGGAGTGTATTTCATCTACATTCAAGAAGTGTCTTTACCTCTTAAGGAGCAGATTTTGGCTGGGCCTTGCATGGTGATGGGAAGTTTTCATGCATCATTTCCCTCCCTCTGAACAGATCAATTGTTCAATTATGACTAAATGTGCGTCTCTCTCCTTGACCCATAACAAGACAGGGAAATGCTGCTGCCTCTTCCTATGCTAAGGTCTCCTCCCCTAGCTCTACAGATACTAGACACCATTTTTCCTCAAATTGAATAGCCAGTTAACATTACCATGTTAAAATTTGTGTCGTGGGTTCAGCAGTAGCAGTCATTATTTTTCTCCTTCTTAGTAGCTGGTGCAGTGCTGTGTTTTTGACTTTCGGCCTGGGAACAGTGCTGATAACACCGATGGTTTTAGTTACTGCTCAAATGTTTAGTCTGACCAAGGACTTTCTGAGTCTCATGCTCTGCCAGGGAGGAGGGGAAGCCTGGAGAAAGCAGAAACAGGACACCTGACCCAAACTGACCAAAGAGTTATTCCATACCACAGCACGTCATGCCCAGGGTGTAACTGAGAGTTACCTGGAAGGGCTAGTTC